GGAACTGAGGACAGTGAAAGTGTAAGTGGATGTTTTTCCCATTCTTGCTTAACACTTCATCTGCTCAACAGTTTGGGGTCTTCATTGTCATATTCAATGCTTCATAATATGCCACACATTTTCAAAGGGAGACAGGTTGGGACCACTGACAAGCCAGTTTAGAACTCTCTTTCTGTAAAGGCACATTGTAGCTTGGTGTTGTCTTGCTAAAAGATGGCATCTGGATGGCAGCATATATATGTAGTATCCTGAGTCAGCATGAAATCTAGTATATAGCAGTGATCCTGAATAGTGAAGAGATAATTAACACCCTGGCGAGCGGATGTACGAGCCAAAATAATACTAGAAAGAAACAAGCCTTCCACCTCACAGGAGCAGCCCACAAGCAGCCTAGAGTGCATCAATGTCATCTTCCCTATGTGTGTGTGTGTGTGTGTGTGTGTGCGTGAATGTTGTGGTAACACTACAGTACTGTTTCATTTAATAAGAAACTAATCAGGAACTAAGCAGGAATGAATAAGTAATGCTGCATTAACACTTAAGTAAGTACTCTTAAGTACCAAGTACTACTAGTTAACTACTCAGTGGGTAATAGTGAACTAATGATTTGGATAGTTCACTATAAACTAAACAAAAACTATTGAGTCTCATAGAGAATTATGTAGTAACAATGGTTTCTTAGAATAATTACTCATAAATTACCGATCAGTTCAACATAAATTGCTCAATAGCTGAGTCTGACTTCAACTTCCTGCTGAACTATTATCTGATGTAGTGTATTCCAACAGTATTCGAACAGTAGTGAAACACACTGCACAGTGTGCAGTCTCTACAATATAATAGATTATATCCTCCATTTCTCTTCACAGAAACAGGTATCCTCAGAGAAGGAGCATCACACCACACTGTTCTGACTGGTGTCCCTCATGTGTTTGTTTTGATCAGAAACCTTAAAAGGCTTATGCACAACTTCATATTTGGAAGTGTGAACCAATTTACACATCAGCCTACAAATGGGACAACTGCTAAAATACTACAGTATTCCGTAGACCAGTCTGCTTACCTCTCATCTTTAACAAAGAAAACACCATTCTTTTCTGCAGGAGCATGTGTGCCAGTGTTTCTTCTGAACAGTAGTTCTCCTTTCATGTCCTCTTGAGGGCAGGGTCAGTTGAATAGAGGGCTCCCGGAAATATCTGAATGTGTATGTGTCCTGCCTTCAAATTAGCTTGGTTCTACATATTACCAAGTGATTATGTTATTACTGTCCATTAGATAATGATTGAGGTGTTGCTGTTCTTCATTAGGAGCTAATGATGATCAGGAACAATATAAAATGAAACACATGGTAACTCACTATTAATGAACTAGGAGTTAATGATGATCAGGAAAAGTTTTATGAAGTGAAACACATGGTAACTCATCATTAATGAACTAGGAGTGAATGGTGGTCTGGAACGGTACTACAAAGTGAAACACATGGTAATTCTCTATTAATGAACTAGGAGTAAATCATGATCAGGAACAGTTTTATAAAGTGAAACACATGGTAACTCGTTATTAATGAACAAGTAGTTACTGATGATCAGGAACAGTATTACAAATTGAAATAAATTCAAAATAAAAACTCCTAGATAAATGACGTAGTACCAAAAAAAAAAAAATAAAGAATTTTTGACAAAAGTAAGAGTAAATAAGTTGTTTATTGAGTCATTTTCTATTCCTGAACAGTCCAAATGAAAATATCCCTGAGTTAGCTAGCTATATCATTGAAAATAACACATTGAAACAACATGAAATCAAAATCTGTCATTACTACTGACGGAGAAAGTCTGAGAGCTGAGACTGATCACAGTATGTTTTGCTAGTACATTAGTTACACATCTTTCTGTTTCATATCTGAGGCAAAACGTTTTACTGCCTATTAGCTGAGCTCACATTTGCTAAATTAACTAGCTAGCTGGCATACACTCAGAACGTCTGCAGCAGGTTTAGGTTTAATAAAGCAATAACATGTGCTTATAATTCTGAAACAACATGGTAAAACTGACATTGTACAAGAAGACCGTACTTACTTAGCTCAGATTGGTTAGCCTGTCAGCTAACTGTGTCTCTACATTAGTGCTGCAGTCTGAATAAAACCTTGAATCTGAATCAAAAGTTTCACATTAGGAGGAGATACAGCGAGTCAGAATTAAAATATGAACACAATTATCAAACTGATCCACTGAGAATGCAGGACTAACTCCTCTCCTTTACCAGCGCTCACAAAAACCTCAAGCACTCAATAGACACACCAAAGCTATCATAATAAGAGTGCTTTGCATCTCTCCTGTTAAATGTAAGTTTGTTTAATTCAATAGAACTCTAAAATGTTTATTATTTTAAATGTCAGACCCTCTATATATTTATACTACTACTACAAAAAAAAAAATACAACAGGAATGGTGAGACCAAGACAAGATTGAGACTGAGACAAGATTTTTCAGAATTAAAAAATAAAACGAAAGAAGAGAAAAACCACCAAAACCACTAAAAAGGTTAATTATACATTATATATAGATGAATATTTTATTTATAATATTAAATAATATATAGACTGAAAATATTGTGAAATATTATTATATTATAGTATTAGTCCAATTCTGCATTATAACTTTGATGGTAGATTATTCCCTGTCCCTTCTTCTCTAAAATCTATTCAGAATCAGTACCTATGGTCAACTAAATATAAACCAAATAACAGACATACATTTTTATTATTAAATGAAAACATTCTGATCTGTCATTTGTCAACATTGTGGTCATAGGAAGATCAAGTAGACTTTATTTGAAATATAAATATCCTAAAGTCAAATTGTCTGTGGGCCAAGTGTCAGGTGGTCTTCTCCAAAAAGGCCTGGTACATAAAAAATGTTCTGTATTTTTCATCCAAATACTTCAAATATGCCCTTATTTAAGTGCATCTTGGTCAGTGCTTGATAGCAGGTCTTCTATCACCATAGTTCACTACTACTGATAATAATAATAATAATAATAATAATAATAATAACAACAATTACCATTATTATTATTATTATTATTATTATTATTATTATTATTGTAGTAGTATAAATATATTGAGGTTTTCACATTTAAAATAATATTTTTAATTTATTGTTTTAAGAAACTTATATTTAACAGTGCAGTTGCACAGGACTCTTATTACCACAGCTTTGATGTTTCTGTTTCTGTTGAGTGCCTATGAGGTTGTTACGAGTGCTGGTAGCGGTTAATCCTGCATTCTCAGTGGATTAGTTTGATAATTCTATTCATATTTTAATTCTGACTTGCTGTATTTCCTGATGTATGATGAGTGAATCAGACTCATGGCAGACCCTGGGGCCGTTAATGTAAGGCTTTTGATTCAGATTCAAGGTTTTATTCAGACTGCAGCACTAATGTAGAGACACAGTTAGCTTAACCATCTTGAGCTAAGTAAGTACGGTCTTCTTGTACAATGTCAGTTTTACCATGTTGTTTCAGAATAATAAGCACATGTTATTGCTTTATTAAACCTAAACCTGCTGCTAATGTTCTGAGTGTATGCCAGCTAGCTAGTTAATTTAGCTAATGTGAGCTCAGCTAATAGGCAGTAAAACGTTTTGCCTCAGATATGAAATGGACAGATGTGTAACTAATGTACTCGCAAAATATACCATGATCAGTCTCAGCTCTCAGACTTTCTCCTTCAGTCGTAATGGCAGATTTAGATATTTTCAATGATATAGCTAGCTAACTCGGGATATTTTTATTTGGACTGTTCAGGAATAGAAAATGACTCAATAAACAACTTATTTACTCTTACTATTTAAAAGAAAAAGGGTTTTATGTCTAATGTAGTTCAGCTTATCATCATTAACGCCTAGTTCATTAGTGATGAGTTACCATGTGTTTCACTTTATAATACTGTTTCAGATCATCATTATCTCCTAGTTCATTAATAGTGAGTTACCATGTGTTAGAATTTATACTGTTCCTGATCATCATTCACTCCTAGTTCATTCGTAATAAGTTACAGTGTTTCACTTTATAATGCTGTTCCTGATCCTCATTAACTCCTAGTTTGTTAGTAGTGAGTTACCATGTGTTTTACTTTATACTGTTCCTGATAATCATTAACTTGTAGTTCATTAATAATGAGTTACAATTCTTTCATTTTATATTGTTCCTGATCATCATTAGCTCCTAATTAGCTCAAGAGGACATTAAAGGAGAACTATTGTTCAGAAGAAACACAAGCACACATGCTCCTGCAGAAAAGAATGGTGTTTTCTTTTCTAAAGATGAGAGATAAGCAGACTGGTCTACGGAATACTGTAGTATTTTAGCAGTTGTCCCGTTTGTAGCCTGATGTGTAAATTGGTTCACACTTCCAAATATGAAGTTGTGCATAAGCCTTTTAAGGTTTCTGATCAAAACAAACACATGAGGGACACCAGTCAGTACAGTGTGGTGTGATGCTCCTTCTCTGAGGATACCTGTTTCTGTGAAGAGAAATGGAGAATATAATCCATTATATTGTAGAGACTGCACACTGTGTAGTGTATTTCATTACTGTTAGAAATGTTGGAATACACTACATCAGATAATAGTTCAGCAAGAAGTTGAAGTCAGACTCAGCTATTGAGCAATTTATATTGAACTGATCGTTAATTTATGAGTAGTTATTCTAAGAAACCATTGTTACTACATAATTCTCTATGGGACTCAATAGTTTTTGTTTAGTTTATAGTGAACTACCCAAATTATTAGTTCACTATTATTATTACTACACTATTGGTATGTTAACTAGTAGTCCTTGGTAGTTAAAAGAAGTTACTTAAGTGTTAATGCAGCACTACTCATTCATTTCTGCTTAGTTCCTGATTAGTTACTTATTATCTACAAAACAGTATTGTAAAGTATTACCAACGTGGTTTTATGTTGTTGTTTGTCAGTTAATTGTATGTGTTAATTGTGTTATTGCATGTCAGGGGATGTGGGTTTTTGGTGTATTTTATGCTGGGGATTAGTCTTCATGGTGAAGCTGGTGGCTAGTGGTGGTCTCCCTGGTTCAGTTTGTATGTGCTTTTCTGGTGTTTAATAAAGAAGGTATTGTGGTGGAATGTATAAATAGTACAAACTGTTCCAATCACACAGACATAACACTGATAAGGTGTTATATATACACACTACAGGCTGTCAGATCAACAAAGTGTTGGTCAAGAAATCAGTATATGCTTCAAATGAAAATGAACATGATGCTAACTAACGCTGCTCTCCCATATCCTCAGTCTTCAGATGGACCCAGGTTTGCTAATATTTAGTTTCTGTTTTACAGAGACAAAGATGGGGGGAACATCATCGAAATCAAATCCTGGTCCGTCTCATCTGTTCATCATTAACATAATCATTATTTTATCCAACCACTGATTATTTAAAATTATGATGTACATGTAAATTAGTATGTACATCAGACCGATCACATTCTGTATCATAGCACTAATATTATAGCACTAAGTCCTGTATCATAGTGCTATATTATAGCATTAAGCCATGTATCAGAGCACTAATATTACATCACTAAACCTGTGATGTAGTACTACTATCATAGTACTAAACCCTGTATCATAGCTCTATTAACATAGCACTAAGCCCTGTATCATTGCACTAATATCACAGCACTAAGCCCTGTATCATAGCTCTAATTATACAGTACTAAGCCCTGTATCATGCATTAATATCATAGAACTAAGCCCTATATCATAGCACTAATATTACAGCACTAAACCCTTTATCATAGCACTAATATCATAGCACTAAACCCTGTATCATAGCACTAATATTACAGAACTACTCCTTGTATCACAGCACTAATATCATTGCACTAATATCATAGCTCTCAGCACTTCATCATAGCACCATCATAGCACTAAGTTAGTGGAGAAACAATTCACAGGTCTATATATAACTGCTATGATTGTCTTTGATAAATAAAATAGCAGGCATTACTGCCTAACCTACAGTGACAAATTCTTCAGCTAATGCTTTTATTGAATTATTTATTTTACTCAGAACTAATTAATCCTTGGAGGCCAGTAAACTGGAGGTAAGAACACAAACCACTCAGTAACATTTCCCTTTAAGGTCCAATGTAGCCTATCAACTGCCGTGCACAATTTGTGTTAGATATTTTCTAGCCAGTTTTCAATGGTCAGTTTCTAAACACAAAGCCCCCCTTGGATGGTGAACCAGTCTCAGCAGCAATGACACTAACATAAATGTGAAAACTGTGCAACATCGCTGTGCCTGATAGTCAGCCAGCTTCACATACACTACAATGCAATTAACATGTCACTACTTACGTTTCCATCCATGCACAAAGGGGTTTTTAAAGCTAAAACTCTTGACTGGAGGGCACTAAAAAATCTGATGATGTCTCTTAGTCATAGCAATCTTTGCATGCAAAGGATATGCAACAAAGTACTAAACATGACTAATGTATATGTACAGTAAATGTCCATTATGGTGCCTTCAAATGTGTGTGGGGGTATGTAAACAGCAAATATAAATATTAATGCTTGTAAACTCAATTTACAAACATTTTAATTATACATGTAAACTTACTAAATGGCCAATATCTTTAGTACGTTTTTTTACAACATAGGCACAGAACCTCAGAACTGGATTAAACTACACGGTTACAAGTTACCTCTAATCCTCTGTCCTTCTCAGTGAAAAAGAGAAGATACTGAAAGACTTGGAAGATTTAAAGCCACAGCTGGAGCCCCTTAGGATTCTGCTGTATGGACCAGTTGGGGCAGGGAAGTCGTGCTTCATTAACTCTGTCCAGAGAGCCCTCATAGGCTGTAATTCCATTTGTGCTCTGGAAAGCACAACAAAAAGTGGAGAAAGCTTCACTACTACAGTAAGAAATCTGTAACGTCATTGCTCCGTAAACCAGTCCTTCACTCTGAAATTCACTAAAGCATTAATTTAATGAAGTTGATTTAACTGCACCAATTTTGGAGAAGTCTAATCACTTAAAAAAATTGTTGGTAAAATTTTGGCCAAAGGCAAGAGATGCTAAAAATCAACAACTGGTGAACACTTTGTGCTGGTGGGAACAGCAAGTTTAGAGGGATATCTACTAAGAACTTCCATGCAAATTAGTTTAGGTGTAACTTCATCATTAATGTATGACCAGCAAGATATAATCATGTGTTTGGCTCAAGTGCTTTTTGCATGAAAACCTGTTGCCACCAGATAGGAAAAAAAGTTTTTTTATATTTCATTGTTTTAGGTTCAAACGTTGACTCATTAGGTTGAAATAATAAATTATTTTCTCAGTAGTTGAACGTAATAAGTCTATCATAATAAGTATTGTTGCTTACTGAGAAAATACATTATTTCAACTTCATGAGTAATTATTTTGAGAAAATAAGACCTTAATTGAGCCAACTTTATATTGTGTCTCTAAAAACTGCGTAGTTATATATAAACAATAAATGCAACAAGTGTTACTACTGATGTATCCACAGTTACAGATGGTTTATAGTAGTACAGTTTATGTAAATACACATGTATCAACTTCAGTTTACTCATATAATTACACATTGTAAAGTCAGCGTATATTGATAGTTGTAACAGCATATTTTCTATTATGTAATTACATGTGTAACAAGGTGAACTGCTATTTTTCCAAAAAACACTTCTGCCTACAACAGTTGGTGTGCAAAAGCATTCTTACACTCACTTAAATAATCCACTGTAACTAACTAACCTCCTGTTGTTAGGTACATACTGTGAAATTACAGATTTGTAATCTAGACATTGGTTCTGGGGTAATATAACAACAAATACATTAAAAGCAAAAGTCAGAACTTTGGTTAGATTACCATGTTATGACCCAAGCATACTACTGCAGCTAGCTAAATGTGAGGAATGTAGGAATGTAAGTACTCTCATAATGTAGGTGATTACAGGCCTCCTGTTTCAATCAGAAAAGTTTTGTTGGAAAAAAAAACAGCAGTTTAAACAGTTATGACACTGTATTTTCTTTTACATATAACAACTGCTGATTTGCCAACAAGAAGTATAGAGTACTATTCTGCATCTGCACAGGAAATACCAACTTTCCATTTAGCTAGCTGCAGTACTATGTGTTGTGACACGGTAACTAAACAAAGGTTCAAGCTTTAAACCATTATGTAATGTGACTACACACTCCTTATAGACTGCAACTGCCCATGTGAATATGTCTTTAAAATATTTATATTTCAAGTGAAAATTGATACAGATGTGTATTTTCACAAGCTGCACTACTTAATACATCTGTAACAGTGAAAACATCACCAGGAGCTACATTGTTGTTTCATGTGTTGTTAATGTGTAACAATCCAGTTATAAGGAATTATTAAGATTAATTATAAGGAAACTGAGTGATCTTTTTAACTACTGTTTTAAAACACATTCATTTTCAGCTGGACTTGAATTCTTTTCTGAGAGCTTTTGGAAACCGTGTGAAATTGTACACTCATGTCATTTGGCTAGCATGCAGGAATAACAAAGTAAAGGGTAAAGAGTAGCTTTAGTACAGTACTGATTGCCCAGCCAAAGAGTTTTAATATATCGTTTTAACAGCAGTTTATAAAAATATAACCCACTTATAAACGACATAAATATCCTGTCAGATGATTATTTAGGCTTTTTTTTATAGTATTGTCTATAAAAAATGGTTTACAACATCATTTTTCTAAAAGGTTTGGGGTATATCCTTCTTCAGATTAGAAGTAATGTGACATTGCAAATGTTTACAAATGTTTGTAAATAAATCTGTTTTGAAAAACTCCCTTTGCTAACTGCTACTTTGGTTAAATACAGTATGTTTGAATTTATTTCTAGATCAAAACGCACAAGCTGAAGAAGCGTGGAGGTGGATATTATCCTGTTGTTTTCACTGACATCATGGGACTTGAAATGAACAGAGGAGGGATACACACTGAAGACATCATCAAAGTTTTAGAGGGTCATATGTTAGATAACTACAGAGTAAGTACACAATCTTGACCAGTTTATACCGTTAACCCTGGCCATTGGTCTGCTGTCATGGCCAGAGTTTTATTACACACTTCTATAACCTAAGAAGAGCCCAACCAGTTTGCATTGAAGTCCCTGTAGTTACTGAATAATAGGCCTTAATGTGTAACAAGCGTGGGTTTTTACAGTCTGTTTTCCTTTCCCTCTCTCTCTCTATTCTTGCACCAGTTCTTACTTTTTTAAATTTGTGTTACTCATGTATAACCCTATTCCTCCTTATTATAATAATAATAGTTGCCAGTGTCACCTTCAACAGATAGGGAAGAAGTATGCTTGTTTTTAATAAAAAATATGTTTATATTATAATATAAATTCAATATTTTCAAAATATTTGCACCTCACACAATTTTCCAATCTGTTCACCTTAGTAAATTGCTCCAGGTTGTTTATAGGATTTCCTCCTTTCCTTTTTTTTGGAACTGGATGTCTTGAATAGTATCATAGCCTAACTGCATATTCATGAAGCCTGGTGCACTAAAACCTGCAGCTCAGTGGCACCCTCGTGAGCACATGCAAAAAGGCTTTTGTACACTCGATGACATATCAGCTGAGACATATTTTGCATGCTCTAAATGCATTCACACCAAAGAAAATATTTAGTAAATCTGGCATATAGAAAGCTGTATATATATATATATATATATATATATATATATATATATATATATATATATATATATATATATATATATATATATTCTGTTTTAGTTTAATCCTCTGGGACCTATAACTGAGAATGACCAAAACTACATTCACTGTCTGGTGTGCATTATTCCTGCTGATGGCATCACAAGAATGGATCAGAGTGTGATTAACAAAATGAAGGAAGTTCGAGAGAAAGCTTCTGAACTGAGTAAGTTGGTTATTTAGCATCTTCAGTGCTTGAGGCTAATGTGGGATTTACATGTATATTTTTAAATTGTCAATTGGTTATTTCTGTTTGAATAATTGAGCTTTTACAACCCTGTTTCCAAAAAAGTTGGGATGCTGTGCAAAATGTAAATAAAATCAAAATGGAATGATTTACAAATCATTTAAACCTAGATTTAATTAAAAGTAGCACAAAGACAACATATCAAATGTTGAAACTAAAAAATGTTTTTTTTTTTTTTTAAAGTATATGTCCATTTTGAATTTGATGCCAGCAACATAGTTCAAAAAAAGTTGGGGCGGGCCAACAAAAGATTGATAAAGTTGTGTAATGCTGTGTACAAAATAATATAATAATAATAATAATAATAATAATAAATAAAAAATGGAACAAAAAATGGAACACCTATTAGAACATCTCACAACTGTTAAGGTTAACTGGCAACAGGTCAGTAACATGTTTGGGTATTTAAAAAACCATCCCAGAGAGGCTGAGTCATTTACATCTGAGAAAAAAAGATGAGGAGAGGGTCACCACTCAGTCAAATGGTGCAACAATTTAAAAATAATATTTCCTAATGAAAAATAGCAAAGGGTTTCATCATTATATACTACATACTATGTTACATAAATAATTATATACATAATTAAATACATAATAATGTGTCCACCAATTAAAAATGTGAAATTCTTTTTGGAAATCATGGATTCCACAAAATCCAGCATCTGTAATGGTATGGGGTGCATTAGTGCACATGGCATAGTTAGAGTAAAGAAGAAAACTGTTAGGAAGCTGAAATACTATATCATCAAGCAAGAATGGGAAAACCTTCACCTTCAAAAATACAGCAACTGGTCTCCTCAGTTCCAAAATGCTTACAGTGTTGTTAATAGAGTAGGTGATGAACATGCCCTCAATTTATTTTAATATGTTTTTGGCATGAAATTCAAAATGGGCATATATTTTTCAAAAAACAATAAAATTTCTCAGTTTTAAAAAATGTAATATGTAGTGTCTTTGTAGCATTTTCAACATTTTGCTCAGCATCCCACCTTTTTTTGGTAATGGGATTGTAAAATTTTGAATTATCATTGTGACCCTTAGCTGTGTGAAACACGTATGTTATGTATGTTATGTATGTTATGTGTTACTTGACCTTTATACTCTGTATCTACATTTTGTAGACATTCCACAAGTCATTGTGATGACTAAAGTGGATAAAGCATGTGAGATAGTGAGCCAAGACTTAAGAAAACTTTATCACAGCAGAAAGATCAAAGAAAAGGTAAGGTTACATCTGCAACTACACTCTGCTTTATCTCTTTTGTATCTCATATCTCATTTTGATCAAATGCTATTTGTTCTTAAATAAATTTTAAGAGAATCACCATTACATCTCCTGAGCCTTCAAAGAGTAACATTTGAGCAATACAATTTTCCTCTGGGAGGGTGAGATGTTTCCATTACACACAGGACCTTTCTAATGAAGCACCTTACCTTCTTTCATATGTCATTTTCCCTAAAGCCTTTCTTGTGGGTTACTACCTTAACATGTCAGTACTGCTATCACACTTTATGAGATAACACAGAACTATGAGCATTCTCCTGAGTAGTTTGTTTTTACTGACTAAGGAAAGCAAGATTGTGGCTGTGTAAGTATGCAATGCCATGAGTTTCTCTCACCATATAGCAGAGTCAAAGGTGGTCCAAGTTTAGTTTGTTCAGATGGGTCTGAGTTTATTCGATGTATTCGCATATGCACAAAAAAGGAGTGAAAAAGAAAATAAACAGGGTGATCCGAGACCACTTGAAAAGCTGAATCAGCCTAAGTATAAAAAAATGTAAACTTTATTACACACCATGTGTGATTACACATTATATTCCATACAAAAAACTCATAATTTGCAGTACAGAGTGAAAAATTCAAATTATAAAGAAATGTAGATCCTCATATTGAAATGTTTATATTATTTCTTCAGACACAGCACAGCAGTAATAAACTGGGCATCCCAGTGAACAGCATCTACCCTGTGAAGAACTATCATGCGGAGGTCACTCAAGACATTAATATTGATGTTATCATTCTCATGGCACTGAGGGATATTTTCAACTTTGCCAGTGACTATGCAGAGGCTACGTATGAATCGAGTGACAACTAAATAGTTATCTCTATACAGAGATACAATGATTCATGCTCCTTCTTACATTGTGTCTCTTATAACTGTGTAGTTACACATTAAAAATACATGCAACAACACAAATAACTACAACTGATTACATAGCAGCTTATGTAAATACTCAAGTGCATCAAATCCAGTTTTTATTCTTGTGATTAAACACAGGTGACTTGATATTTGTAACAACACATTTTGTCTTATATATTTACACAAGTATAATAGGGTAATTACATTTGTATAAACTGCTTTTTTTACAACAAGACTTTGCTGATTGTAACAGGAAGTGTGTAATCACCTGCATTATGGAAGTACTTACATTCCTACATTCCTAACATTTAGCTAGCTGCAATATTTAGCTTGTGTCGTAAAACTGTAATATCACTAAAAGTAGCTCTTACTTTTATGTAATGAACTAAAATATATGTGTTGTGTTATATTATCCCAAAAGTCGTGTCAGGAAATCTGTAATTTAATTGTATCTACATAAATATATAGGAATTGTCCACTTATTTTAACATGTAATTTTTACGTAGTTACTGTGGAATATTTGAGTAAGTGTAAGTATGTTAAGTTTTTAAAGGGTTCACTGTTGGTTTTGGGGAGTAAATAAAACGGCTCTTTTACATTTTAGACACTGCAACCCCAGTTCTGAGTCAGTATATTGCTTTACAATGAACCATTTCACCAAACAGCTCTGAATGACTTTGTTTACATCTTAAGCATATGACATTTTGAATAATCAGTGGAATTCCTCTTTAAGCCTATGTAGGATAATCCTGTTCCTGGCTTTCTCTAACATTAGTATACAATCTACTTCTTACTATTATCATTTTGTTAATAGTTTAACTTTGGGTTATTATTATTATTATTATTATTATTATTATTATTATTATTATTATGAGGACTGTAATATCCCTACTAATAACTTGAAATAAACATTCACTTTGTCTTTGGGAAGTAAGAAGATTCCTTCAGTGAATGTTGCTTCAAGATTAACAAATCTTTGCATTGCCCTCAGAGCAGTGAAACTTCCTTAAAAATCATGTTAAACTTTATATCTTTGATTTGTTTTTGTCCTTTCTATAAATCTGTTCTTGCTCATTGCTACATCCATAAAATAAAGGTATACTGTTACAGAGAAAAAAACCTTTTGTATAAAACACCTATAGTATGTTTTGCCAATGCACCTCTCCCATGGGCACCAATGACAACTGCGATAGGCATAGTACATTGGCCTCACTGCAGAACAGGAGGTGCGTCCGAGGAGTTGGGGTTCATATCACAGACACCGTTCTCATGCCACTCGTGTGAGAAGTCATACTGAAGCCTCTTGAAAAAGCTGCGATATGATGTACATGTGCTTATATTATAACATTATTGGTGGGATTACATAAACATTTCTTTAATTTTCTTAAAGGGAAATTTTAGATTCAAATGATTTATATTTATATAAATATTTAATTAAAAATCAGTCAAACCTTTTTTGTACTAATGCTGTTTGCTATCCAGTGTCGACCAGAGGACGATGGGTTCCCCTTTTGAGTCTTTGTTTGAGCAAGAGGAATGTCTACCTTCGCATTCCACCCAATTAGTGAACCCATGCATTTACCACACCCATGTACTGAAAGTATGCCACCTCTTGGATGTTGAAATGTTAGAAACTTAATTATTCATGTTGAAAGCAGAGAGAATTGAATCAGACAGAGACATATCAGCAGCAACACACTTAGGGCCACTGACAACATTTGCAACCAAATATCAATGTCAGTTGGTAGGCCATTCCATATCTCCTCATATGCCTGGTCTTGACCTATGACAGAAAAGAAGCAAGTACAGAATCAGAATTAGAACCACTTTATTTTCCAAAAACCCAGAATTACTAAAACAAAGATGAGGAGTGCAAATGATAAAGATCCAGGGTGAAAGTAGCTAAAGATATGGAACAAGGCCGACCATGACAACCAGAAGAATAAAGAGAAGAACTCCCACAGCTGCTTCGGGG